CCTTATTTTCAATAAGCAATCCTGAAAAATATTTGGGGGTGCTCAACTTTTTTCCAGGTGTATATTTCTTTACTGACACATTACTATGGGTTTCTAACGAGGAGAAACGTAACAACATGTGGACTGTATGCACTTGATGTTGCATGCCGTTGCCGACGAGACCCCCTCCCTTAATATCAGAGCTCATTGGGATGGCTGGGAATGCAACACCTAAAGTTAAACACCTTAATATATGGTATAATATTAATGAACGATATATTGTGTTAACTGATACTTTGTTACATTTTCATCTGAGTAAGCTTGTATATTAATTTATTGTATATTATTTAGAGATTTAAATTACTATGATATCACAATCGGCCGTAGAAAAATGTAACCGTCTAATTCAATATTTTTAAAAACGAAATATTGCGTATGCTAAAATCCTTTCAGGACAGATATTTATAAAAGTTTGTAAAGTAAATTACTGGGTATCTATAATACTTGCCTCATCCAAGTAATGGATAAATTAAGAGAGTATGTGTAACAAAATCTAGCATACCTAATGCACTATGCTATAATAGTTGTCTCGTTAAAATAATGGTTTTACTTTTTAGGACATATAATTAACTCTAGAAGTAAAAACTACAATATTGATGATGTAATCACACGTTGAGACACCCTAGATGATCATCACCCTATTGAACTATCGGTTTATAGAAACGCCATCCACCTTAGCAGCACTAACCTTAGTAACACAATTTGCCAAGTAATGCTATCTACCTATAGATTCATAGTAACACCACGTGCCTTCGTAAAACACATGTAATACAATTGAATATATAAATAAAAACTATAACCATAAGGTGAGACGAATTGAAATCTGTATGCAGTCCTACGGGACTATAGTACCTATAGAAATACCGCCTGCCTTAATAAAACACACACAATACGCCTTGCAAGGCCATCCGCCTATAGAATCGTAGTAACACCGTATGCTTAGTTACACAATCTGTCTATAAAAACGCTACCCTTTGTAACACAACCCACTTATAGAAAGTAACACCGTTATCCTTTCTACCCCTCCCCCTGAGGCAGCCGATCAGCACGCGATGAATAAACACCTGCGATTACTACTAATGTTAGAAATAATAATACAAAGCTATCTTCTTTAGCTGAACGTACGAATGAAACTAAACACTTGATTCAATGGGAAAAACTGTTATTTTAGCACAAACTGCAAACATCAATGGTACTAATATCCGTGAATCTACTGAGATAATCAAATGTAATGAAAATAATGTTAAAGTATTAAATAAGGATGAAGGACAAGAGGGAAATGTTCTTAATAGATGTCGTGAAATTTTTTAAGATGAATTGTATGTAAATTTGATCACGTGATTTTTGAAATTGTATATAGTTCTTAACTCTTGCCAAATATTGCACTACTGACGATGACGCAATAAGACGTCGAAACATATAGAATCTATGAAACTGTTCCTAGTCTTTATACAGTAAAACTATTAGTAAAACATTTTTTTAAATTGTTTTTGAGACTGGAGACAGTCTCATTGTTAAATGTTCATTATTTACTATTAAACGTTGGCGTTATGAAAATTTGCACAAGTATCGTCCTAATCTTAATTATAATGCATTATAATCTTTACAGGTTGAAACGTAAGAAAAATATAAATAACTATACTGATTGTCATGTTGATCATGAGTTCCACATAGCTGATTCTCATCGAAGTTACTATTATGTACTTAAATCACTGCAACTTTAGCAATTTTATTTATATGGATCTTTATTGTTTAATTGGATAGATGAAGTCATTTTTGTGTAATAAAACAAAACAAACATTGCTGGTTTCTAAGCGTTTCTAGTAAAGTTCACTCAAACCTACGCGTTCCTAATTTAGCAGTGATAGACTTGAGGGAAGGCAGCTAGTCAACAACACTTACCGCCAACTTTGTGATACTTTTTTATCAACGAATAGTGGGATTGACCATCACATTATAACGCTCCAAGGTTGAACATGTTCGGTGTGATGGGGATTGCTAGTCGAGCGCCCTAACCACCAGGCCACGATTAAAGTAATAAAGGAAACAGATGCGATTAGAATAATACAGAAATCGTTGATCATTTCGTTATAAAAGCGTCTGAATAATTTAACAACTTATAAAGTATTAATCACATGTCCTATGATTAATTTTTTCTCTTCCAGTATCCCATGTGAATGGGGTGTCCAGTCCTTCACCAACGCTCAAGGATGCTACTAGCCCGAGGTATGGGTCAATTCGACCAATAACAAAGCCTCCGCAAGAAGACAGACCGTCAATGGAAAGCCTATTAGATGATTTGCAAAGTGTGGTGTCCCCAACGTCAAAATAGTAACTTTTATTTATTTATTTTTCGGTTAATAATTACAACATTTACTTTGTTCACTGTAACCGAGTTGAATCTGCTGTACTAAAAAATACCAATGAATTGTTTCTAATTGTCAGAAATATCGTACGTCCATTAACAACTCAAAAAAAGTATATTTCAAATTTAATTTGTAACTATGCTTGACCATGGGAAGTGGCATGTTAATGTTATCCACACAAATCTTGAGGAGAATGTTTTAAAACTATCTCTTGTTAATACTATCTGGTGTCATATAACCCTTAATTTTGGACTTCTGTTACTTACAGCCCTACAAGCTCCGGAGCAATACCGCCAGTCAAGCGGGAGTATATTACCACAATAACCTATACTAAACAAGAACCCTCTCGCTCTCCCCCACCTGCTTCCACACCAGTAGCTTCTTCTGCCACTGAAGAACTGGACGAGTTGATGGCTTCTCTCTCAGATTTCAAGGTAAGTAGCAATATAGCTGTCATAGAGTTTAAAATGTTAATAAATAGGGCTAACCTTTTAGCACTCGCTTGGTTTGTAATGTCTACCACGAAGTTTAAGCTGTTAAGAATGTGTTTTAATAGTGGTAGCTAAGGGGCTAACCTGTAGCATTTGTGTGGCTTGTGATTGGAAATATGTACAATACTATTATATGTCTGTCGTATCTCGGCCGGCTTGATGAGTCCTGGTATTTGGAGAAATGCCTCGTCTGCACTGGATATAGCAAATGTAGTGTGGTTGACATATCATAACATTTTCTCCTTTGCTTTTACTCATGGGTGTTATAAACTCGTATTGTTAACGTTATAAAACAAGGAGCAGTTTAAAAGTTGAACTAAACTGGTTGATTTGCAGCCTCAAGTTATGATTGAGTAAGATGTTTTTTATATAGAGGCTTAGCTCGTCACTGATCCTTCGTACTGTTTTAAGATGTTATTAAGGGTCAATGATGAATAAAGCTCCACATAAAAGAGAGAGTCTACTCATTTATTAGCTGAGGCTAAAAATCAACTAGGCTAGTCCAGTCATATGTAAAGGGCACTATCTCTCTATTTGCTTTGTAACGATCTAAATTAAACAAGCCGCTATAATCAGGGTTAAACAAAAAAGAAATTATTCAATTATAACTACATTTAGAAATTAATTAAACACTTACCAAAACTCAGTTAATAAACACGTGCCTGGCCAGGACTTGGCACTAATGTTAACGAACAATATATCGTAAATATCAATATTATTTCAAATGATAGAATCTGGAAAAAACCTAATTCCAAAAAATACAGAAACACAATATTCAAAAAATACTTTTCAATATTAATAGCAATATCGAGTAATAAACAACGATAATTAACTAACTATCTCATGGTTATGTATCTCTTTCTTTTAGTGAAGCTTATGACAGGGTATTTATTCACTGAGTAGGTCACGAGAGTACATCTCACGTTATCATATATGTACATAATCTTCTGTTACATTAATACTATATGTACGTCACCGCTGGGGAAGCAAGTGTCAGTTTTATCATACATACATATTTACTCAAAATACAAGTGATTAGCTAGAAGGTGAATTAGAGTTTTAATGCAACTAAAATTCGTAGAAGAAAATAATAACTGAACGATAAACACAACCATAACCATAAGAAATAGAAGTTTCTATCACACAGTTTGGAGTAATCATATGAGGGATGAATATCGAAGGTTGAACCTCTCGTGAACAAATGACAAAACCTATAGCTCTGAACAAGAACTCCACAGGTGGATACCAAATGCTCATGTTCTAACTATTGGAATAGGAAATAAAAAATAAAAACATCATTTTTATACATAAATATGTATTAATTATGAAATGGTGAAGCTATAAAGCAAATGTTTAATAAATTTCTCCAACATAGTGATTGATATTATCTGCTTGTTTTTTCACTGACCAACACTTTTAAATTAAGGATTGCTATGGAACTTCGGACCATCCTTTTTGTGAATATCCTTGAAGTATTTCGACTCTGATGAGGATGAATTTTAAATTGTTGCCTTTAAAATCGCTGTCATCGTGGTTGGTGTCTTCTTTGCAGCAGAAGTATTGCTATTTTTTGGCTGTATTGGTTCTTTTTAGTACATGAGATTTTATCTCATTTATTGTGAGCCTTAGTGGATTTCCTGAGACCAAATGGCACACAAGCCATCCATTCAACAAGCAAGGAAAATCTTTTGAAGGGTACTTTTAATTGTATCTTACCAAAGGTAAATTTTTCACTTGTGTTTCCTGCACACGACAAATTCCCTAACAAAGACACTTGTAGTATTAGCACTGCTTCCCCATGGAAGGGTTTTGGCAGTTGCAGCCATTTTCGTATCAAGTCACCCTAAATCATTTATACTTCCAGTGCTGAAACTAGAAAATATAGTGGAGCTTGTTGATTCAAATTTATCTCCATTGGAGCCAGGACTAGGTGAATAACTATCATTTCAGTAGTGACATTGCTTACTGATATAGCAATATACTGATTCCCATCTAAGTCTCCCTATTGATGGTAGTTTTTTGTATTTATCTCAGACATCGGTGGTTTTTAATGATGTATACCTCAACATTCAAATCAGAAGTTCCAAGTGTGAAGATATTCTGTCCTCTCAGAATCAAGTACACTGGAAGGTCATCACCAGCTTTGAATGTTCTAATAGGTCAGCAGGCCAGACTTTAGTTGTGGGTGTATGAGTGTCAATAAAAGTTGCTTACAAAATAAGATCAATGCAGTTCAGTAACTGAAACCCATCGTCACTAATACTGTAGAAAACCAACAAACGTTGTTCATTTAATACAGGGTATTTTAATCAATCAGGGAGGAAGTAGTGTTTTTGGGTGGCAGGAAAAGGAATAAGAGATTGCAATAACTGTTTTAAGGAGGTTGTGCATACACCACTGGAATGTTCGGAATTTGCTGTATTCAAATATGCAATTGATATTATGGTAACATATTTTAGCCCAGAGTTATGAGCAGTCAAAGAGACACAGGGTTTTGGAGTGGCCGCACCACCTTACACGAAATTGTTACACACATTAATTAATTATCTGGTTTTTGATTCTCAAATCAAATAATGCGACCTTTCTTCATTTTGTGTTTGAGTTTGGAGATCTTGTTCTTGATCTTCTGATCTGGTGAAAGGCTGCTGCTACTACTACTATAACTACTGTCCTTATCAGCAGCAAACCTATTTTTGAGTGCTGCCACAACATCTTTGAGCTTGATAGATAGATTTGCCTCAACAAGGGCTGTTACAAAGTTCATCGTGATCGTTTCCACAATGGCTGCAGAGATTGTGAGTAGAGCATCTCGGAACCTTACCCATGTGGATAATCGAGGAATAATGGTGATTGTTGATGGCATGCTACACTAACACGATGTATTAAACAACTACACTAACACCATATATATCTAGTTGATATATCATGGCTGATGAAAGTTTACATTGCTCGAAACAGCAGTTATTAACTGCTTATAACAAGGATTTGCCCCCAGTGACGCAGTGGTATGTCTGCGGTCTTACAACGCTAGAAACCGGGTTTCGATACCCGTGGTGGCCAGAACACAGATAGCCCACTGTGTAGCTTTGTGCTTAAACTACAAACAAACAAGGATTTTGTTCTTTGATACGAATTTACTAAAATAATCCACACTGCTTGTATTAGCCCACAAATTCGTTTTAATTCCTCACTTGTTTAATCGTGTTTCCCCAGGCTTCTTACTCATTCTTTTTTATTATATGTTGGTTTTTGGCTTTTTTTTTAAAAGCCAATCACAGTCAACCGTCTTGACAGAAATATCGTGTGATGCTCTTGGCGAGTCGCATTTTCAAGTCATAGCTGAGTAGTATATCATCACAACGGCTCTCCCTCCATTACTTACGTGTGTTAATATTAACCTTGTGTTATTATTTGCTAACTCATGCGCATATAAGGCTTGTACCGTCATCTCGAGTTACAAGAGAACGAAATCGCAGTGTTAAAGTGTTAGTGAATGTGTACTTTTAATTCACCGTAGGTAAACGATAACAATCCTTCGGGTCTAACAAGTAATGAGCCAGCCTACGCCAAACCCGACAAGACAAGTAAACAATTTCAACCTCATCCTCAACCTAAGATGCAATCGGTCCTTTCTCACAATGATTATTTGGATCCTAAGCAGCAACCTCAGCCCAAACCTCAGCCGGCCCCTTCCTGTAACGATCAGCTGGACTCTATGTTAGGTAGTCTACAGACGGACATGAGTAAACAGGGTGTGAAAACGACTGCTAAGGGTCAATGTTGTGCTTGCAAGAAACAGATCATTGGTCAGGTGAGACAGTATGGTTAGCGTAAACGATATTTATGAATGTTACTTTTCACAAATAAACTTATTATTTTATAATATATATATATATATATATATAACCTCGGTGTTTATACGTTAATAAACGATTAGATAAAATGTTTCTTACATGACTCAGTGTGAGAAAGAAGATATATTAGATTAATAGATAAAATATTTTATGCATAGAAATATCAAGTATTACTATTAGCTAGACAGTTCAGTGTTCATAAAAGTGTTAGGCACTACGTAGATAATTCAAGTAAAAAAGTATTAATAAATCAACTGTTAAGTGGACGAGGCAGTGTTAATAAACCAATTTTTAAATAGACAACTTAATGTTAATAAATTGTGTTATCTGAGTCAGTATTAATAAGCCAAATGTTTGCGCTAGTGCTAATCAGTTTTCAACTGGACGTGTTAATGTTAATAAACTGTGTGCTAGATGAGTCAATATTAATAAATCGGTTAAATTTGGGAGTCAGTGTTACTAAGTTTCTAACTGAACGTGCTAATATTATTACTAATAAACTCTAAATGAATCAATATTAATAAATCCGTCAAATTTGTCATTCAGTGTTAAGTTTTTAGATGGGTGTGTTAATGTTAATGATTTCTATATGAGTCAATATTCATAAATCGATCAAATTTGCGTGCCACTGTTGATAAGTTTTAACTGGATGAATTATTTTTAATACATTATATGCTAGCCTAGTCAGTATTAATTGATCAGTCGAACTGGAAAAGTCCGTTAATCAGTTTTTAATTGAACATGTTAATGTTAATAAACTGCGCTAGGTGAGTCATTATGAACAAATCCATCAATTTGGGCGAGTCAGTTTTAATAAATCAGTCGAACTGGAAAAGTCCGTTAATCAGTTTTTAATTGAACATGTTAATGTTAATAAACTGCGCTAGGTGAGTCATTATGAACAAATCCATCAATTTGGGCGAGTCAGTTTTAATAAATCAGTCGAACTGGAAGTTTCAGTGCTATTAAACTGTTTTTGAAGCGAATGATTGTTAATATATCAATTTCAAGTAGGCTGAACAGTTTATGAACAATTAATTGAAAAGAAAAACCATAAGTGGATCAAATGCGTCGCACCAAGCTTAGTAAAGGGAGAAACTGTTAACTAGAATTATTCACTTGATAATTGATCTTTTTTAGGTGATCACAGCTCTTGGACAGACGTGGCACCCAGAGCACTTCACGTGTGTTCACTGTAACAAAGAATTGGGCACCAAAAACTTCTTCGAACGAGAAGGTGAACCCTACTGTGAGGAAGACTACCATAAGATATTTGCACCTCGTTGTGCATATTGTAACGGCCCTATTCTTAATGTAAGTATATGTTTTCTACTTCAAGATGTTTTCATGTTTGATGAATATAAGCAGCATATCTGAAACACAAAAAACCAATGCTCTGAAGATAAAGGTCAAATACTATCTGAATATAGGAAACTCAGTAAGAAAGCAAAGTAACTGCTTAGAGCTCCCTTTATATTTACTAAATAGTTATTTAGTAAATAACTACTCTAGTTCAAGAGAAAAAATACTTGCAGAGACAGGGATATTTCCTTTGTAATTAAACCTTTTACTTAGCTTATTAGAGATAATATTAATGAAATGTACTAGCAATTGCGAAAATTTTCATTGTATTGAAAACCTTCAACATACTACGACTCTTTTAAAGTTATTCTTACCCGCATATATATATAGTTTTTGTCATTTGAAATTTTGGCTTTTCACAACACTGTTTTGTAACCCTGGATGGAACTTTTTATTTCAATTTGAATTAGTATTTTTATTTCGGATTCACGAATTTCTCACTAACAATGTACAAACTACTTTGCATCATAGAAATGTGTAACAGCGCTGGACAGAACTTGGCATCAGGAGCACTTCTTCTGCGCACAGTGTGGCCGACAGTTTGGGGAGGATGGCTTCCTTGAGAAGGATGGAAAACCATATTGTAGGGATGACTATTATGATATGTTTGCACCGAAATGTAGCGGCTGCAATAGGCCAATAAAAGAAAATTACATCTCTGCTCTCAATGGCCAGTGGCATCCGGAATGCTTTGTTTGTAGAGTAAGAAAATATATGAATTTGTTGTGTATTCCGTATTCAAGTCAAGTCAGTGTCGTGTTTAAAGAGATGTTGTTGTTTTGTAAACAGCTGGACAAACTTAAAGTTTTTTTTGATAGGT